TATCGTACTAGTATTCTGTGTGTGATTCTCTTATAGTTGTGGTGCAAGATACCGTAATTCGTTTGGTCTTCTTTCCTCTGAAGATCCTCAAAGTGTACCCAAGATGATTCAATTACTTTAGATCCACACTTTGATGGAATAAAATTATCCTTTTTTTTTATACTGTTAGTTTCACTATAACATATTAAACATTAGGCCTATGTCAGTTGTTAGGCCTGTCACATCTATGGTTTTTAACTTCACACAGCTATATTTGCTATTATCTGTCTATTGTTGTCTGTCTACTGCTTCCCACTCATTTCACACTATTTATATCTTTATTACATAGTCACCTGGCCACTTTCTATATCCTCGACAATAATTAGTTATTAACAAAACCTTCTACAATTGTCTGCTTTTAACTCTTATTATAACAAATCTTAAAAATAATAAAATATTCACTCATAAATATAAATTAATTACCAGTAGTTAAACCAAACAATCTTTTTATATCATGACAGTATATCATTCTTATACATGTGATTGGTGTAGCAATCTCTTTCCACCTTTGGTGGTTTGAGTAGCTAGTATATAAAGTTATACAAAAAGTTAACAGATGAATGAAGTGTTAAGAATCTTTAGCTTTTACTCAGAGTGTAATGTCCACATATTTTTTGTTTTCCAGGAAGCTATTTCTGCTATGATAACCCAGGAGCTCTCCAAAGTCAGATAATAGAGGATATGGACATAACCACATCTCAGTTTGCAGCACTGTATGCATGGTATTCCTGGCCAAATGTTGTGCTCTGTTTTTTTGGTGGATTTTTGATTGATAGAGTGTTTGGAATTCGATTAGGAGCTATCATTTTTGGTCTTTTTATTTTAGTTGGACAGGTAAGCAAATTCACTTCAGTACATGATAGATGTGGTGTTCGCTAGTGTCACTTGTCTTTTTGTATAAAGCTATAATACCATTCCTATGTTACTTACATAAACTGTAATGTGGAAGGAAGAGTTCCTAACTTGGAAGTTTAATTTTTTATACTTTTAAATTTAACACATTTTTAAGTTATTGTCACTTTGTAAATTTTTGTTTTGTTTTGAGAATTTAGTAACTTAACCAAAACATTGAAATCTACATCTTCAGAAGTAAGACTTTTTTTTTTTCTGAGTTAAGGGATTTTGGGTTATGTAGATGTAGACCATTTAGTTTATGGATTTTTTTTTTCAGAGCATTTAGCAGGCCTTGAAAAATATGACATTGTCAGTGTTTTATAAATAATAAAATAAAAAATTTGGATCTAAAATTTGTTTATATAGCTGGTTAAAAACATGTTCATATCTTTTTTTACAAATGTTTAATTATCTTAGTGGTATCTAGTAACAATCTTAAGTGCAATGTGGGTTAGGCAGATGTCAGTAAAATAAATATTTCCTTCTTTATGTTTAAATAATTTTATGGGATAATTCAGGAGTGGCATGCAGGCAAATTGCTCTAATCATGAAGTCAGCATTCCTTTAAATAATTGAACAATATATTGAATTCTTTTTGGTTAGAATTTCAATGAAATTAGAGAAAATCTTATATCGATTTATCGTTTAAAATCTTGCAACTAAATTAATCATTAGTATAACTGTCATAGGTCACATTACAAGACTTAAGTCCTGACCGATATATATGGTTCATGGTGACTTCATTTTGACAGCTGTCAGATTCAAGCCTAAAGTTCATGGAGTTATATGATATTTACATGATGATAAATGATAGTTTTAATAGATTATCATTTACTTAATTATGTATGGTAGTTTTAATAGATTATCATTTACTTAATTCTGTATGGTAGTTTTAATAGATTATCATTTACTTAATTCTGTATGGTAGTTTTAATAGATTATCATTAACTTAATTCTGTATGGTAGTTTTAATAGATTATCATTTACTTATGTATGGTGGTTTTAATAAATTATTGTTAACTTAATTTTGTATGGTAGTTTTAATAGATTATCATTTACTTAATTCTGTATGGTAGTTTTAATAGATTATCATTTACTTAATTCTGTATGGTGGTTTTAATAAATTATCATTAACTTAATTCTGTATGGTAGTTTTAATAGATTATCATTTACTTATGTATGGTGGTTTTAATAAATTATTGTTAACTTAATTTTGTATGGTAGTTTTAATAGATTATCATTTACTTAATT